CTTGTAGTGATTCAGTAAAGATGCTTGGCCTTGTGCTGAAAAAAACAGTCTCCTCTCTTCAGGTGTTTCCAAGCCAGGTTGTTTAATTCTTAAGCAGAAGCTGTTGGCAGATAAAAATCTTCTGGGGCTGGAGGGGAAGGAAGTGAAGCTTCTCTAAGCAAAAATCAAGGCCTTTATAATCCAGAAAAGGGGATGGAAATTGCCAAATGGGCAATGTTGAAATGTGGAGGAAATCGGAGGAGAAAAAAGGTGAGCAATGGTAAGAAAACGAAAATACATTTGAGGCTGGAGAAGATAAAATGATAGGAAAAGAACTGTTGAAATACAGGGGATCTGAAGAAATAAATAGAAACGTGTTGGAAGGTGCGTGCATATGGTAATTTCGAAGGCCCTCCATCTAGCTGGGCTAAGAGGACTAGACAGGTGCTGGTAAAAAATTTGTCACAGGTGTTTGTAGATCTGCTCACAGTGACCTTTCTTAGGGCTTCCCACAGCGTCTGTCAATTGTATAGACTTGTTTAGGAGAGGAAACAGGGGTATTGCCAAAATATAATCTGCGTTTCTGAAAGATAAAGCTTCGAGTTGGTATCAGAAACGCGGTTGTCTGTGTAGAATTGCCGTCAGAGGAAAACTTGTACGGTGGGCGTGTAACCAGAGCGGTACAGGTACGGGAGGCAGCCGTCCTGCTCCGCTGGGGTGGCGGGGGGCTGGCAAGCAGCGTAACTCCTGTCAAGAGCCTTCTTAATTTTTACATCCTTTTGATGCCAAAGTCCACAGCAGGATGTTAGGAGCGTTCAGTTGATTACAAGAATACCCTGGTGGATATCTTGGAAGACCTCATGGTATCAGGTTACACCTGAGCAAGGGAGGAACAAGCTGTTTCCCTGGGCCCGGTGCCAGTACATGGGTGAATCTGTTTCTCCGTGTCATCAGTCATCTCTGCTGTCTGATAGAAATAGTTTTCTTGTCCTTCACTCTTGTTTTCTAGCTTGGTAGGTTCTTCAGAGTTAAGTGAACAGACTTTATCAGCAGAACTGACTATCCTATTCTAATAAACTGTGTTAAGCATCTTGAAGTTGCTTAACTTGGGCGTAATATGAACATAAGAACCAAGCAAGTGAAAATGAGCACGTAATTTGGTGTCTGCATCCTTGCCAAATTCTTAATCTAAAAGACATAATGCACCACGATTTATTTTGAGCCCAGCTGTATTGCTGTGTCTGTCCAGGTTCTTTGCTTGGATTATTTTATTATTTGTTCAGTGCTTTCCAAATCTGTGCCATAAAGAATGAAAAATCTTTTTGTATTTCATTGTTCATAGGTGAAAACAGAAAAATAAGTAGGAGGAAGATGAAGATTAGCATCTGCAATGCTGAAAAGCATTGCAGAACCTCTAAAAACATGTCCTAAAAATATAAATATGGGCAAGAAGAAATATAGAAAAGGGCTAACAAATGAAAAGATTGAAGATATTCCTCTGAGAGGATCAGAGGACTGAAAATCAGAGATCTCTATGATGCAAGAGATAATATTAAGCAGGAAGTAAATATTTACTGTAGTACAATAATTTAGAGCAACAACTTTCTCCTTGTGGAATGCTGATCCATAGGTCAGAAAACAGAAAATACTTGACATGGAGATAGAGATGATAAATGAGCAACGTTTGTCATTTTTGTAAGGAAAAAAAAAAGAGGAGCGATGCAATATTTTGTTATACTTTGCTTTGGATTTGCACCCACATGTTCAAGAAATAAGTCTATAGACTATGCATTGCATGTAGCTTTTCTTGCATGTGTTTTTAAGTTACAGATGTGGTGTTTTCATATTGTGGAATAGTCTTCGGCATGCACTGTGTCACTTAAATTAATCCATTTAAGCCTTAAACTGCTGAAGGCATGTGGGCATGCCATCTGTGGGTAAATGTTGTAATGGAAAGGACAGCCTTGATGTGAGTGGGATTGTGGCAAAGTAGCTTTGCAGGGTAAGGAGGTTTAGGAGGCAATTTAAAGTAGTTATCCTGTGGTCTCAGAACCAAATTTTGCTGTGTTTCTGCCTCAGCGCTCTCAGTGGGGGGATAGCAGTGAGTTTCTCTGGGAGGATAATTTAGAGCATTTTCAGAGTTATTGATTTCTGGTGCAGTAGCATTTGTTTTACTCATCCTACATGTTGATAAAGCGTGTGTGTGTGTATAACTATCTGTCTGCCTATTTAAAGGTAGGTGATACTTTAGAATAAAGCTAGTCTGTCTTCTAGAATAAAAATGGGCTGTTTTGGGAGCTACTGTGTGTTTCTCTAAAAAAAACTACATTTTTTAGGTAAAGGGGCGGAATGTGGCCTCATGCTGCTGAAATGGCTCTTGGAGCTCTCGCTTGTTTTTCAGTAGAGATCTTATCCTGTATTTCCCTGCAGGTTAGGATTAGAAGTGAGTACTGAAAGAATAAGTTAGATTAAAAAGTAAGAATAAATTTCTTACCTGTTTGGCCGTATTGTTAGGTATTTCTTCTTACAAATTCCGTCACAGATGTTATTGGAAAGCACTGCATGTGAAAATTTTAATCAGTTACCAGTTCAAGGCAGAGTCATGTAATTTTCTGTTCCTGGTTTTATCAGAATGCATGTGGCGCTTCCAAAAGCTGCATTTTCAGAAAACTAAATTTTTTTTTTTCGGTTTAGCTGAAGGAGAATCTTCTATGTGTAGCTCAAGATAACCGCTCAATTTCAGCGAAGAGTTTTGCACCATTCTGTTGAATGTAGGGACATTTTTAAAGATTATATCATTTTAAAAGTAATGTGAAGAAGTTTTTGAAAAATAAACATTTTCTTATCAGGGCTTAGTAACGCTGCTGTCGCTGCATCAACGGGACGACTTGCTGCTACGTAAGCATAAATAAAAATCTACCATATGGATATCTTCTGCTACTTACTGTTTTTCTAGCCTGCCTTCAGCCCTGTCTCCTTTGATCCCCAAAAGAAGAGAATAAACTACAAATCCAACATGAGTTTAAGAAAAGATGCTACTGAAGTGGAGGAGTGATGGGAGACTACAACCAAGGTTTATTTAGAAGAATGTTTTTCAGAATTTTTGGACCAGGCGTTCTTCAGAAGAAGAATAAAAATGGAAAAAAAAAAAAGAGAGCTAATACCCAATACACAAAACCAGACAAAAAATACCGCCCTTCCTGTCAGCTCAGGTAATATGACCCAGGATGTTCGTTACCTATTTAGTGTATGTATTTATAAACTAAATAAAGATGATAGCTAAGCAGGGATGATTGTAGAATCTGAACGGAGTTGAGGCTCACTGTGAGCAGAAGGATTCTCTCTTTCTCCCCTAATGTATTTGAATTCTGTTTGTTCTTATACGATGCATCCAGAAATGTTTCAGGGAGTTAAATGCAAAGCCAGACATAATAGGAATTCCAGAAAATAGCAGTAAACTAAAGCATTAAGTGGCACATGAGATTTGAGGAAGCAAAGGGATGAGGTAAGACATGTCATGCTGAATAAACTATATTTCTCTGATGTTACTCGGTGCTGTGCTTGGTGGGGACAAATGCGTTAACTAAACTTTCACCACAGGCCATACTGTAGTATGTTGGTTATTGTGATCATATGTATTTGGGAATAAAAAAGTTTTATTCTTATAAAGTCTATCTTGGCTCTCCCTTGAAAAAAGTGACTCTGATCCCTGATGGTTAAGTTCAGTTATTATCTTTTAACTCTAAATTGTTGGTGTTCCTGCTACTCTTCAGAAGCAACTCCTCCCCAGTGCTGCTGTTACAGGGGAAAAAAAAATCAATTCTTATTCACCGCAGCAGTGTGTGCAAATGGAGAATACGGGAGATACTTGTATGACCTGCAGGTAACTTTGTGCTATTGCCCCTTAAACTCAAAGGATTAAGTTGGAGCTGAGCGGCAGTGTAAATACGTCCCTGACACTAGATAAGCCCAGCAGCCGTGTTTCAAAGACAGTGTACAAGTGGTTCCTTTTGAAGCCTATTTCTGATGGAAGTCAAGCTCCCGTACGGGCCTGCTGCGTTTTAATCTCTGTTTTCTGAATACTGTTCTTTACCAGCTCATAGCACTGGGTACGAAAGGCCGAGGAGGCTCGGCGTAGCGCTGGCTGACTGGCGGGGGGACGCGGCCCCTCTGCGCCCGGGG